TATCTATCTATCTATCTATCTATCTATCTATCTATCTATCTATCTATCTTTCTCTCTGCTTCCTGTATGCCACAGAAGTGCCATGTGCCACTGCTGCCATGATGCTCAAACCAAACACCTGGGTCAGGCAGCCACAGACCAAACTCTCTGAAACCATACAAAATTAATCTTTTCATGCCCAATGGTTTCTTTCAGCTGTTTTGATCATGGTGACAAAATGTATCTTATACATGTATCTTGACAACGTATCTTCCTTTCTGGGCAGGAAACAACTGACATTCTAGCTGAAGCCCTGCAGTCCTCAGCTTTGGTATTCTGGCACTGTGAGGAATAAACTCAGGGAGTTCTTATTAAAATAAAACTGCATCTGAGTAAGCCCATTTGACTACCCGAAGTCCACAATCAGGATCTATAGGATCTCTGCCATGGGTTGGTTTGACTGCCAGCCAATGTCTGTGTGATGCCTATCTGCCTGCAGCATTTCCTATGACTTTCCTTTTCTCCCCTTACATTGATGTTTTTCTCTTTACTTGTTTCTCTTTAAAAACTTCTTTGGAGAGTTTCATAATAAGTACTGTGTATATATACATATGTATATATGCATAGAGGGCATACTGGTCCCTCTGACTTTTATGGTCTTTCTATGCCTTCTTTTGTGATTTTCCATAAGCCTTAGGTATATAGGGTTTGTGTTGTATATATACATGCATACATATACATGTATACTATATATATACACACAGTACTTATTATGAAATTAAAAATATATAATTATATATAATATATAATTAATATATATATAATTTCTATCATTTTCTCCATCCAACTCCTTCCATGTTCCACATACATATATATGGAACATGGAAGGTCCATCTATATATGGACTGTATATATATATATATATATATATATATATATATATGTATATGGACTGTATACATATATATATGGTTGCGTATACATACATATATACACAATATACAGAATCAATTTAATGTTTTTCATATGTATATATGTTTGGGCTGAGCATTTGGGGCTGAAAACCAAACAGAGCTTTCCCTGGAGAATACTAATTCTTCCTCTGTCAGCATTTATCAATTTCCTATAGCTTCTTAACTAAGGGAAGGGCCTTGTGAAATATTCTTTATCAACGTTGGGATGTCAATTGGTTCTCTTACTATGCAGGTCTTGTTTAAGCAACCATATTGGGATTTCATAGGTGCAACTTTCCTGTCATGTCTAGAAGACATTATCTCAGAGATGGCATTCTGTTCCCTCTGGCTTTTATGGTCTTTCTATGGTCTCTTTTGTGATTTTTCCTTAAGCCTTAGGTATAGAGGTTGTGTTGTAAATGTATCAATTGAAATCGGGAACCCCATGGTCACTTACTCTCTGCATTTTGACCAGTTTGACTCCTTTTTAATAGTCTTTTAAATAACATCTGTTTCAAAAGAAGCTGCTTTGATAAGGGGGAAGAGCTACAATTACTTGTGTGTTTAAGTATTTAGAAAACAGAGATCATATTGGTTCAGAAAAATTGCATTACTAAGTTCTCTTCCAGTTTCTAAGACTTATTTAACTTAGGTCAGTTAGGTTGGAGGAACTGAGTTGAAATTTCCCTGCAAGTCTCCTCCCTGAGAACTAACTTTCACAGCATCAGGTGTATGTAAGGTGGTACGCACGGTGCCAAGGGAGAAAAGCAATTAATAGACCTACCCAGCTGTGACACCTACTGACCACAACAATGATCAGCCTGGCAAGACATGCTGCATGGTGCTGCAGGGGCACTCTTATCTTGGGAGTAGCCAACAGCTGGCTAATTGGACTTATGCCCGGTACACTACTGCTTAGCTTAGATCCTACATAATGGTCTCTTCATGTTGTTTCTTGTTCACATCTCCTTCTAATGCCCATCTCTGTCTCTCTCTTCCAAACATTCCATCTCTCTTAGGGAAGCTCTATTTCAACATCACTTAAAGATTTTCCCCGACTTTCTCACTAACAGTTCATTTATTCCTCATCTTTTCTTTCCCTCTATCCTGAACCACACACAGCACATTGATAGCCTCTGGGTTGTAGGTCTAAGACATTAGACAAAAGTCCCTCTTCTTGCATTGTTCTCCAGGCTTCAGGTTCTGCCTAGGGACATCTTCTAATTCTCATCCTGTTATCTTCCTTTGGGATATCGTAGCTCACAAATAGAAAGGGGACTTCCTGACTCCATTAGTTTCTTCCCATTTGGCATTAGATTTGCATGTATATTTGAATTCTAGATAGTAACTTTCTGAAATGAGACTATACATCCTTGAAATGTGTACAAAAAGAACAAGTGAAAGACTTCTTTTATGTTTTGTTTTATGTTTTGCCTTCATTAGTGGTTTTCAAGTGTAAAAACATTGATAAGGGCTGAGGGTGTAGCTCCATAATAGAGGATTTGGCTGTATCTCTATCTATAGAGCATGTAACAAGGCCCTGGGTTCCACCTCGACCACCAAAGTTTGTATTTTTTTTTTAAATAGCTATAGGGCTACTCTTTTTTCAAGCATCATGGAAAAATAAGAGCCTTAAATTTTGATGTGAAATTGGATATACATAGATATGGTCTTTTCCTTTATTCACAGAGGTTACATTTCAGGATCTTCATAACTGTGTAACATATCATAGTGACCCTACAGATGTAATGTTTTATTCCTGTGTAGATGGAACTATGATAAAGTGTAACTTCACAGATTACCTGTGAAGTAGGTGATCTGTGAAGGTGAAGTAGAAGGAGAAGATTAACAGCAATCCCTAATAATAACATAGAACGCTTATAACAATGCACACTAACCAAGAGCTCTTAAAAGCTATCCGCTGTGTGTTTTGGGGAACTTCTATTTAATATTTTTATTAGAACTTCTATTTAATATTTTTATTTTTATGGATGAATAAAACTGCAGAAAAACACAACCATGGATTAATGTAGACTACCATAATAAACCTAAATTATTAGCAAATATGCTGTCAACAGGGTGTCTAACCTCTAAAGAAAGTAGGCTTCCATGTACCTTGCCTTCATCAGCCATAGAATTTTACCTTAGAACTATCCATTCCTTTCAGTTTTAATACTTTGCATTTTTAATTGTTAATATTATGACAATAGTGCGCTCTAGTATTTAGTGACATTTTTATTAAAGGTGCTTTTCTTTGACAGTCTACGAAGCAAAATATTATAATTAATACTGTTTCTTAGGTTAAATATCCTTTCAATTTCAGACAATTA